GAGGGTTTATTTTGTTGTTGTTTTTTTGTTTGTTTGTTTTTGTTTGAGAACAAAACAATTTTTCAAGGCAAGGTGTTAATTTCATGTCCTTCAGTGATCCAGGCAAGCTCTTCGCATCTAAGAGAGCCATGAAAAGGACAACCTCAAACAGGGCCCTGAGGGGCTGGAGAGTGTCCAGGGCAGGGAACAGAGCTGGGAAGGGACTGGAAAACTCCTGATGGAGCTGAGGGGCTCAACCTGGAGAAAAGGAGGCTCAGAGGGGACTTCATTGCTCTGCACAAGTCCCTGCCAGGAGGGTCAGGGAAAGGAGGAGAGGAAATGGCCTCAAATGGCACCAGGGGAGGTTCAGGTTGGAGATTGGGACAGAAAATTTCCCTGGCAGAGTGGTCAGGCCTTGGGCTGAGCTGCCCAGAGAGGTTTGGAGTCACTGTCCGTGGGAGTGCTCAGGAGGAGTCTGGATGTGGCCCTTGGGGACAGGGTTGGGGGGATGGCACTGGATGATCCTGGAGGGCTCTTCCAGCCTTGACAATTCTGGGATTCTGTGACTCTCATTTTTCACTGCCAGGGCTGCCTTGGCACAGAAGTACCTGTGAAAAGCATCCTGCCCTGGACTGATGCCTTGTGCAGGCTGCCCCAGACTGTTGCAAAATCTGCTCCACAAACTCAGCTTCTTTTAAGCTTTTACCTCTACCAAATAAGTGGAACCCAAAAATTTACAAATTTAACTCAAGAATCAACAGTTCCATAAGGAAACTACATTAATAAAAGTGTGCAGAGTAATGGAAGACTGGGGAGAAAGAATTAAAAGATGCTAAAATGCACAGAATTTATTCCTCCATAGGACTGTGTGACAAGTGTTAGAATTGCTCACTTGGGTACAAGAGGAGATATCACTGAGATACAAAAGCCAGACCAGAGCAGCTCTGAACTGCTGAATTTGGACACAGTCCCTACATAATTTCATTATTCTGAGTGTTAATGAAGCAAAAAGAGGAAAACAATGAGGCACAAGACCGTCAAAAACCATATTCTTGGAGAACAATTCCCTTCAGAACCACACTCCAACACCAGCAAACAGCAGGAATTAGGATTAGAATCCAGACATTGACACTTCCCATGAATGCCAACACTGAAAAAAAGTTAGCTTTATGATTTGTGTGGCCCTTCTGGGTTTGCAAGTTTTTGTTGTAAAGAAACAAAAGTGAATTTGAGGAGGGGAGAGGGAAGAACACAAAACCAGCAAATACAAACCAACCCTCCCTGCACACACAGGCAACTCAAAGCCTCGCAGCCCAACAAATGGCTTTGAATTTATTATGGAAAAAAAGCCCTAAATCCACGGAGTTAAATTCCAAATATTTTTAACTGATAGCACAGTTATCAGTCCTTAGGTGAAGTTTTACAGATACATTAAATCCATTCCCCAAAACCAGTAACGTGCTTCAGCAAATACCCATTTTTATTGGTACAAAAGCATTGACATTGCTTCATCTGATTTTTTTCCTTGAAGCTACTTTGCCTTGAAAGACATTTTCATTTTTAGCCAAGAAACAAACTCAGAATAGCTTTCAAGTTCAAAGGTTTTTGCTCATTTCAAATAATACACAATAATATATTTAAAAAAAAAGGTTAGACACAAATGATTTATCAGTGATTTATTCAAGTCTCTCATGGTCTCTTGGTCATTTAATATTTTTCTTTGCTCTTATTTTACTTCTGAGACAGAGAAAAGAGCAAATTTATTTTCTGGAATAAATAACTCCAAAGAGCTCTTGTTTTTTGTTCCACTGTCTGTAAGGCAGGGATGATGCTCATGCTTTGAGAGTAAGAGAAAACAAGCAAATCTCCCATTTTGTAGAATATACATTTTTGGTTCACTTATAAACAAAAAAAACCTGGGTAGTAATAAAAACTAGGGAGTTTCAGGGTAACTACCCTTTATTTTAGCACTGGAAATTTTTTAAAAAAACAAACCCTGAAGTTGAATCTCAAGTCCTACAACACCCATGAATATGCATGGAAATATTTCAGAAACAATTGTCTCCAAATGTACCCTGAAATCAGGGTTCATTATAGTGTTAGCTGAGAGTTCAAATTTCCCATCCTCAAAGGAAGATTTATTCAGGATAAAGTAACTCCACATTTTCTTGGCTGACATAATGGACCTGGAATTTAAAAGCAGACGATGCCACCCCAGAATCAAGACATGGAAATCTGCTCTGAGTTGATTCTGCCCCAGCTACTGAATTACTCAAAAACACAAAAAAAAAAATTGAGTCTGAGGAGTTTTTACTCAAGTTTTAAGATGTGCAAATGTGTGGGTATAACAGCTCCTAATGGGAATAATCATCACTGGGACAAATCTTATTCTTCAAGGAGTAAATCCTTGGTTTGAAACCTACTCTGAAACTCCGGGCAATAAAACACAATCCTGGCATTTATGTCTGAAAAATTATCCTTGGAGATGACTGAAAGAGCAAATATTTGAGAGTTTAAGGGCAAAGCTGCAGAAAAAATCAGATCTCTATGCTTGGAGCTGCCACTGAACATGTGGGTGCCAGACACTGGAGTCCCCCCTCCCCGCAGGACACAGAATTTCCCTCTCCATTTGCTCAACTGCTCTGCAGCCCAGCAAGAAAAGCAGAAAAAACAAAGATTCTGGGTTTTGCTATCAACACAGGCCTCTAAAATTACATTCAGCACCAAATTGTGTAGACTTAATTAAGCTTTTAACCAGTATTTTAATTGTTCTTCATTCCAACACTGCCTTTGTGGTTGTTGTAGCAGAATTCTCCCTGCTAAGATGTAAAATCCTTAAAGATGGACATGACCATCCATTAATCAGATAGCAGAGCTTTCATTTGGATTTAAAATAGAATAATTCCAGTTCTGCTCATGTTTTGTTGGCCTTTTGTAATCCATGCAGCAAGACTGTGGTGAATTGGAAATGAAAACTTCAAAATGTGAATTCTGAGGAGGAAAAGTAAAAAAAAAATCCAACGCACCCCTCAGGAATAGCTTCAAATTCCACTGTAAAAGACGCCAAGCAACACTCACGGAGTGGAGAGGAACATCTTAAATTCTAAATAATCACATTTACATCAATCAGCAACATGGGTTTGATGGGATCATTAACAGCATCTCAACAATGATGCAGAAAAACACAGACTGTCCAGGAATTTCAGCAAAGGCAAATCAGGAGAAGCTATCTGTTCACAGAATAAAGTTTACAATTTTATTTGATGCCCAAAAGGTACCAAAAAACAGGTCTGGTGAAAGTTCTGATAAAAGATGGAAGAGGCACCAAGGGAATCCCACAGAATTTACAGCTCTGCTGCAAATTGAAGAACTCCCCAAATCAGCACTTAAAGCTGAAAGAATTTTAAAATTACCCCAAAAAACCCTCAGCTTCATTTTTTTTAATGAAGTAAAAAATGCAGAGCAAACCCAATTATTATTTTTTCCTCATAAGCAAAAGGAGCTTGGGGCTCCTGAAATTAATTAGAAAATCTGAGCAGCTGAGGGGAACCAGCAGTTTTTAAACACAACAGAAACTCCAGTTTGGGGATGAGGAATCCTTCCTGAGCTGCCAAGTCTCAGCAATAGTGAAATATTTCTCATCATTTTTGGATCTGCTAATAAGAGCTTGAGCTTGCTTGATCATCATTTGACTAATTATGGTATTTGTATTACAGGGAAGTAAGAAAACCATCCCAAAATCACTTGCTGGCAATACAATTAAGGATTTCCTCAAATAATTCACATTTTTGGTATATCCTGGCTCTCTGGGAAAGCAAGGAGGCCTATGGAGAAAAATAAATAATGGATAGATGGAGAAAAAGAAATAACTTGTGAGAAAGTTAAACTCTAACACATTCATTATTTATTTCAATGTGCTCTCTCTTCATTAGGAACTGTAGTTGTTACAAGTTGCAATTTCCTTTTACACAAAATTCTGGAATTATGCCAAGGCTAAAGGGAAAGACATTACAACAACGACTACACACAGCAAAACTACCATTAAGATATGTGAATAAAACAATTAAAATCTCATGAAACCAGACAAAAATTAATAAATTTTAGGAATAATTTATTAATATAATTTATGATGTAAATTTTAAAAACTAGTTGTGGTATAAACTTTAACTAAAGAAAATACAGTTAAAATATCTTTACTTGATGGTCTGCAACCCTGGAGTATGCCACTAGATGGCAAGTTTGGATAGAAATTAGCTGAATTTTAATTTATAACATGCTTGAGAAGTCCAAAGACATTGGTTAGAAACAATCATGAAAAAATAGTGAAAGAGGAGAACAAAAAAAGGAAGAATTCAATAAACAAGTCTTGTGTCTGGAGCACATTTAATACAAGCCAAAGAGGTTAAATGGGTTTTAGTTTTGTTTCCACATTGCCACACAAATGGAGAATCAATTCACACAGGATTTTGAAGTTGTGTTTTAAAGAAAAACAAGTGAAAATCACTGTTTTACACATTCCTCACAATTGTTCAGAGCAGTGTCTCACGTGGAGGAGAGCAGCACTGAGAGCTGACATTTGAATTACCAATATTCCCAGGAAATATTACAACATCCTCAGGAACCAGGGATTGCCATCCCTGTGCCATCAGCCCCTTCCCAATCACTCCACTCTGCTCTTCACCATTTCCTCTTTTGTTGCCAGCCTGTGCAGAACTTTTTGTCTTGACTTAAAAGGAAAATAAATCCTGGTTTTCAAAGCAGTTCTTTCTGTAGCTCACTACAGCCTTCAAAAGGAACAGCATTAAAAAGTTCTTACCAGAAATACAAAAATATAATAAAATTAACCCGGCACAATTCCCCTGTGGTGAAATTCAGAACTCCATCTAGCAGGGACCAAAAATTGGATGGATTAAAAATTAGAATTTTTGCTTACCTGAAATATCTGTTGAATACTCTCCAAACAAAAATAGCAGGCTTTAAGAGAACACTGAATTTCCCTGGCAGGGTAAATCCCAGCTTACCTCATCTGGAGAGAGCAGATAAATGGGTGTTAATTCAGGAATTTCACTCAGTTCACAGCTGAGCCCAAGGCAGGTCAGGATCTCCCTGAGAACTTCATATCTCTTGGAATTGCTCATTTTAAGCAAATTAAAATCCTCTTCAGTTTGCACATCCATGGAATTGCTGTCCAGTTCCAAATGGGCCTGGCAGGATTTATAAAAAAAGAAAATCAGTTTGCAATTCAAGGATCACAGCCATCAATACACCACCATTTCCTCTGAAATCTACCTAAAATTACCCTTCTTAATAAACTTTTTCTGGAGTAGTTGATCAAACTTAGCTTACCAACTTAAATTTAACTTCCTGCTTTTCAGGTCTGCCAGAACCAACAGCAAGGTTGGACATTTTCTGGCTAGAACATGAGCAGAATTCCATTACAATTAAAACTGAAATTCCATTAAAATTGAAATTACATTAAAATTGAAAGAGCTTTTTAGAAGCTCTTTTTTGTGGTCTGTAATGTGGACTTCTTTATTTCATTACACAAAACCACCCAAACCCAGGGAGAAGAAGGTGAAGAAGAAGGAGCAGCCTCCACCCTAAACCCTCCATCCTGCTTTATATCTATTACTGTATTCTAAACCCTTAAACTCTGAGTTTCCCACCCTGTGATATCACACACTTCTGTCCAAACTGCACACCCACAATCCCAGTTCTGTCATTCCATTTTGGAAGCTTCTCCAGGGCCTCAGGTGAGTGCAGTGTTCTCCTGGGGGTCAGTGCCTACAGCACAGAAAGTCTGAAATTCTCATCAGCCAGGGTTCTAACACACAAGGGCTTTGAAGTATCTTGGAAAAGCAAAAAAAACGAGCCAAAAAGGAGGTTTATGAAGGATTTTTTTTCCTCTTGCATTTAATTTCAACTTCCAAGCATCTGCTTCCATGAGCAGTGATGAGGAGTGATTTTCTGCCAGGTGAGAAAGTAACTTTTTTAGACAGAAGGGTTTCTTTATCTGCACTGATTTCCACTTAATTAATGTGACTTGCTTGAGTTCTCCATATCTTGTAAATGAAAGTGAAAATTTAAGTGAAAATAATTTAGGTGTCATTCCTTAATTGGACAGTTTGTCCTTTAAAGGCCTTGGAGAGACAGAGACAGGGCTCCATTTTAGTTTGTTAGAGTGAAGTGCTGCAGAACTAAAGGTTTGTAAGACTGCAACAGAAATACAAACTAATAAACATCTGAGTCCCAAAAAGAAATACCCTCTCACACATTTAATCCTGACCCTGGCAAAAAAAAAACAAACCCAAAGAACCCACACTTGTATTCTCTGCAGATTCATTTACTGCTAATAAATAAAGCCCTTATTTTTGTTAATGTCTTCCATTTTGTAAAATTTAATGATGTTCTTTGTGTTTTACACATTGTCATTGAAATTCAGGGAAATTAGTGAGTGTGGCTGCCCCTGGATCCCTGGCCGTGCCCAAGGCCAGGTTGGACACTGGGGCTTGGAGCAGCCTGGCACAGTGGAAGGTGTCCCTGCCATGGCAGGGGTGGAATGAGATAATTTTAAGATCCTTTCCAACCCAAACCATTCCATGATTGTAAAAAAAATACACTAAAAAGGAAGCAGGACACACCCACCCACCAGAGGAGTACAGAAAAAAGGGAAACAAATCAGCCAGAACACTTCATGGCTGATGTCACTGCCTGGAAACAATAAGGGCTTTTCAAATCCAGACTGGAGGTCATTTAGAATTATAAAATGTCACACTAATCCTTTTAATCTGGTTTTTGAAGCTGTGCTCTGATGCTCTTTTCTTTTTCCTGGGGAAAACCTCTGGAGTATTAAATTTTACTACAGCAGGAGGATCAATTTAAAGGGTGCAGCAAAGCAGAACTTGCAGGGACAGAATCAAATCCATTTTCTGGGTGGCAGAGCTGCCTACAAAAAAAGCAATAAATATCCTCCAATGTCTAACAGAGTTCCCAAAAACCCAGCAGATTTAAGCTGATAAAAGACAAAAACACTTCTAAGAGCCCCCTCAATATTTCTGAGCTACATAACTGCTACAAGAGCCTTGACACCTGATCCCTTAGCAGTTAAATTTCAGTGCTCTGGGCTCCTAACAAAGTTCCCTACCTAAAATACTGGTAAAAACAGAATCTTTCATAAGTTTGTGCATCTTTTATATTCTCTAACTTAATCTTGGGAAATAAATCTTGATCTGCTTTTCTCAATGATTTATTCTCTATACTTCATGGTACTTCTTATCAACCTTTCCATCACCCAAAACTTTAGCTGGGAATATTTAAATCATTTCAATCATCAGTGACCAACATTTACCTCCCCATGAAAGCTTCCTCACCCATTATCCAGAACATAAAATTAAGAAAAAAATATTATGAACATTTGAACTTATCTGTTTCATTTTTTGAGGGCTTTGGCTGTTTTGGTGTTTTTGTTAACCAGAGATCACAATATCATGATACTGGAGAGGCACCTACTTCCTGGGATATTATTTTTAAGTGGAATTAATGATTTTGGCTCATCCTGGACTACCCCAATTCCATCCCCCAGATTCTCTGAGCTGTTTGATAGGTACAGAATATTAAACATTTAAACCTTTAAAGCCTGAATAAGGACTCAGGAAACAAAAAAGTTTCCAGCAACTTCTTGCTTTGCCACAATTGCTATTTTTCTAAGGATTTTATGGGATTTATTTCCTATCTCCCAAAATCTGCTCAAGCTGTATTCCAGCACCACCTCCAGCAGGCAGAAAAGGAAAGCTCTGCTCTGGAATATGAGAAAATCCCGGAATAATTTGGGTTGGAAGGGACCTCTGGAGGTGATCCACTTCAATCCCCTGCTCAGGCAGGGTCACCTGGAGCAGGTGACACAGGAAAGTGTCCAGGTGGGTTTGGGATGTCCCCGGAAAGGGAGACTCCATCACCTCCCTGGGCAGCGGCTCCAGGGCTCTGCCACATCCATGGAAGGAAATTCCTCCTCAAGTGGAGGTGGAACTTTCTGGGGTTTGGTTTATGGCCACTGCTCCCTGTGCTGTCTCTGGGCACCCCTGGGGAATCTGGCACATCCTCTGGCACCCCTTGGAGATATTTCCTTGGATTAATGAGTAAAATTCCTGCTTCTTACACAAAACTGTTCTTTTCTACCTTGCCTGTTCCACACATGCCTGACACCATGGTGAAAATAAGGAAATGTTTTCCCAGCAGTGACATTCCCCTTTATTTAACACCAAATGAAACCCACCCTGCACTTGGATCCCTTCTACACCCAGGACATCCATTTACACCTGGGAATGGCTCCCACTGGGAAAGGGGAGATTTGGGTGGGATATTGGGTTCTGCTGGCAGGAATGGCTGGCACAGCTGGGATTGTTCAGCTGCACAGGAGAAGCTTTGGGCTGAGCTCAGGGTGGCCTTGCAGGGCCTGAAGGAGCCCCAGGAAACCTGGAGAGAGACAATTTCCAGGGCATGCAGGGACAGGACACAGGGAATGGCTCCCAACTGAAAAATTACAGGTTTAGATCAGATATTAGGAACAATTTCCTCCCTGGGAGGGTGGGGAGGCCATAGAATAGAACTCCCAGAGCAGCTGGCTGCCCCTGGATCCCTGGTAGTGCCCAAGGCCAGGTTGGACACTGGGGCTGGAGCAGCCTGGCACAGTGGAAGGTGTCCCTGCCATGGCAGGGGTGATACTGGATGGGATTTGAGGTCCCTCCCAGTGCAAACCATCCCATGACTGTACACCTCCCCTTGACAGGAACCCACAAGAACATGCAATGGGAACAATTTTTTAGGAGTGCACAGCATGCAGCAATGATGAAATGAATTCCCCTGCCCACAGTACCTGGGAAAGGATGGCTTCTCCTCCACTGCTCCCGTGAGTCAGGTGCACAATCACTGTGTCTTCAGCAGCATTATTCAATCGACTCAACACCTTCACTCTGCTGCCATCTCCCTTCATGCCTTCCTCAAAAACACAGCCACTGACCAGCAGGTTCAGCTTCACCTCAGTGCTGTCCTTTTTAGACACCACCAGCTCATGCACCACCCTCCTCAGTTTGTTTTTGCGCTTTATCTTCACGCCCCCAAAGCTGAAGGACGAAGAAAGCCCAAGAATCTTCCCCCCTTTGGACAGAAATTTCATGAATTGCCTGTGGATGCCCTCGGGGATGGGCTCCTCTGTGACAATGAGCAGCAGCAGGGAGTTCTCAACCCAGGGGTCTCTGAGCACTTGCTCCTGGTGCAGCTGGTACACGGTGTAGCTGTCAGCATCGATGCACTCCCTGAGCACTGACTTCACCTGCTCAAACCTCCCTTTGGCAGCCTCAGAGCCTAGATAAATCAAGATATTAGGGGGTTTCCCAGCCAGGTTTATTCTTTTGATTCCTTTTTGCAGACATTCATGCTCCTTCTCCTCCCTCCTGCTGCTGCAATCGTCGGGGAGCTCTGGGATGTTTTCTGCAGAGGCGAATTTCACCGACTCAATGGTGCTGCTCTCAAGCTGCAGGCACTCCTGGCAGCTGGAAAGGTGCAAGTGGTGGTGCTCCCCACCTCCTCTTTCCTCATGTCCCCTTTCTTCTTCCAGCTTGCATTTGTCCTCCTCAGCTCGCCCTAATCCTGATTTCCCAGCAGGAGTTACTGCATCCATGTCTGTGCTTTTCTCCTTCACTGACGGTGCCTCCTGTGCCAACTCCTTCAGAGCAGATTCCTCTAAATGGACAGCTGCAAAAGGTAAAGGATACCAAAAAAGGGTTAGGATAATGAGATTAAAAGGGTTAGGATAAATATCATTAACAGCAGAATTCAATTTCAGTACAAATGCCCTGTAACAGCAAGAGTTTCACTTATTTGACACAACAAATCCTATTTCCCCCCAGGACAAGACCTGCACTCACACCATAAATCTAAAGACAAAACTAGGAAAAGAAAATACCTCTGGAAAAATACTGCTCTTCTAAGGAGGGCAGGGTTTAAAATTGCTGCTGTTTTGAAATAAACTGTTTTGAAATAAGCTAATAAAGTGATGGTATTGGGTAAGACAGATATTGAACCACGTCCCTTGCACTGCTGAAGGCTGCAGATAAAGGTTTGGCATGAGAAAAGGGAGTAGAAAGACATTTGAACAGATTTCAGTCTGCAGAAGGCAGAGAGACCCACCCACAGCAAGATTTGGGAGCTAAGAACCCAAGAGAAAACAAGAAGATGAACTGTTAAAAATTCCCCTTTTCCCCTAAAAATGACAGAAATGTGAAGACAATTCAAAGGAAATACAAGTGAGAAGAGAACAGCAAGGATGATTATTGCCAGCAAGAAATGTGCAGAGCAAAGAGGAGAGAAAAAATACTCTTCACAAGGGAGGGTTTCAAGGCAAAATCTGAAACTGAATCCTTCCCCGCTCACACCCAACCAAATCAATTTATTATGCTTTTAATCCAGGGAGAAACTTGATGAACAATATTTTGTTAATCAAACTTCAATCCTATCCTTATTATGAAACTACATCCCCCTCAGAAACATGAAGCAAGTTTGGTTTTGTTTTTGTTTTTTTTTTTTTTTTAATATCCCAAGGGAATTTCACAGCTTCCAATCTCTGTTATTTCATCCAGAGCCTCCCCCAGCCTGTTCTGGAGCAGCTTCCACACAGCACTGGAAGCAAAAGGAGGCAGAAAACATTTTAGGAAGGGACTGGCTGGGACACTCTCAGCATCCTTCCTTGGGGAAATATTTATGCAGAACAGCACCCAGAGAGACAGAATTTCGCCTCAGATTCTTTTGGGAGAATATTCCTGTCCTCTTGCACTTCAGCTAAATGTTGATTTTGTCATTCCTTCATTTCTGCCTGTGCACTGTGATCTACATTAAAAAAACAGCAAAGCAAAAACAAACCCCACAAAAAAAGACCAAAAAAATCCCACTCCAAATTGTTCTCAGTCCATGTTCAGCTTTGAATACACTTTAACTTCAAATATGAAAAAAAGAAATTGCCTAAAATCTTCCAGCTTTGGATTTTTTTTTAAATAGATTTGTTAATCTAACAGACAAGATTTAAAGAAAACATTTTCTAACTTAGGGTTTGGAGCACCCTGGGATTGTGGAAGGGGTCCCAGCCCACAGCAGGGGTTGGAAATGGATGATTTTTAAGGTTCCTTCCAACCCACACCATTCCAAATCCTACAAAATTAAAGCAGAGCTACAGAGGGATTCAACCTGGAATCCCAACAGGAAGAAAACATTGCCAAAAAAAGAGCAAAATATTCAGGTAAGTATAAAAAGTATGCACAAAGTCCTAAAATAACCATAAAGCAAGAATGTTGTGCTATTAAAAATGAGCAGGAGGGTACTTACAAACAATCCTGTGTGGCACCATCCCGTTCTCCATCTGCAGCCTGTCTTCCAGGAAGGCTATTCCAAGGCTACTGAAATTATCTACACTGGCTTCAGCAATTAACTTAAAAGGTTCACCAGCTTTATAGGCCAAGGGTGAACAAAAGTCTGACCACTTCACAATCTAGAACAGAGCATATGGATGGCTTTCAGTTGGGAAAATTATGGGAAAATCCCCAAGTAGCAACAATATTGTGAGTTTCCAAGAGGGACTGCAGGAGAATTGAAGAGTTGACTGAGGGGGGGTTGCTTTAGGCAGCAAAGATTGAGCCCTGATGGAAGAGAACATCCACATCAAGTGTTGGGAGCAAACTGGGAGTACAGAGGAATCATTCCCAAAGATCAAGGCTCTACAAGTTCCAAGCAACAAAATGGCAGCAGAGCTGTGAGAAAAATTCTATTTGGATTTGTTTCCTTCAGCACAAACTCCAAGCAAAAATGCTGATAAAAAGAACAAAATTAAACTACAAGGGTTTAATAAAAATTATCAGAAGCATTAACTAAACCTTAAGGGTTCAAGATGCTTATCTACATCAAAAATTCCTTTCTCCAGGAAAGAAACATTGCACAAGTGGGTGACACAACTGGATACACAAACCACTTGTTCTCTCGTGAAAGAATTTTTAGAGACCTGCCTTCATGACCTAAAAAAAAAAAATCAGCCTTTGCCATGTTCCAAAACATGGGGAGACAAAGTGCAACTCCCTCAGGGCAGCTGCAGCACTTGGACTCCCCTTCCATGAGGTTCAGCTTTTTCACCCCACACACTAGATATAAAACACTGACTGAAGGAAGGAAAAACTTATTTTGGATGCACAAACTGAGGGTGAGCTGTCAGTTATTCTACTTGTTCATAATTAGACCATCAGCTAAATTTACCTTTTTATTTACTGCAATAAAATGGTTTAGACACCATCCAAGAGAATCCAGCTGCAGCTTTTGACTTTGTGGTGTTTCCCAAGGGAACAAGAGGAAAGAACAAACAACCCCAATGGTTCTGTCTCCTTTCTAAGGCATTCTCAGAGACAATTTCTGGTTAGTAATCATCAAACCCAAATGAGACCATTCAGTCACAGAATCCCAGAATGGTTTGAGCTGCAAGAATCTTAAAAATCATCCCATTCCCAAACCCTGCCATGGCAGGGACACCTTCCACTGTCCCAGGCTGCTCCAAGCCCCAGTGTCCAACCTGGCCTTGGGCACTGCCAGGGATCCAGGGGCAGCCACAGCTGCTCTGGCAATTCCATCCCAGCCCCTGCCCACCCTGACAGGGAACAATTCCTTATTGCCAAGATCCCATCCAGCCCTGCCCTCTGGCACTGGGAGCCATTGCCCATGTCCTGTCCCTGCATGCCCTGGAAATTGTCTCTCTCCAGGTTTCCTGGAGCTCCTTCAGGCCCTGCAAGGCCACCCTGAGCTCAGCCCAAAGCTTCTCCTGTGCAGCTGAACAATCCCAGCTGTGCCAGCCTTTCCTGCCAGCAGAGCTGCTCCATCCCTCTGCTCATCCTGGAGCCTCCTCTGGGCTCTCTGCAGCAGCTCCAGCTCCTCCCTGTGCTGGGACAGGGCTGGGGCAGCTCTCAGGTGGGCTCTCAATCCATATTTATATTTCTGACCTTTGGATATCTAACAAAAAACCCGGCTGGGTATCTTCTGATCTGTGATTTTTGCTAACCCTTAGTGAAAAATTCCCTTTCCAAGAGGAGAAGGGGAGCAGAGTGTGGGGTTTTACCACTTTGAACCTGGGGGTGAAAGCCCAGCTCTGTGACACCAGAGCACAGCCCAGCCCGTGGTGGAGGGTGAGGGGCTCACAGAGTATTTAAATATCCTTTCTTTTCCAAGGAACAGGCACAAGTAACACCCACACCTTGAGGCTGTCAGGAAGGTCTGTTGATGCTCTTGATCACCAAGTGAAGTCTCAGATGTAAAATGTAATTATTGCTGCACAGTGCAAATGAAGTGAACCCACAGAAGCAGCTCACAAAGTAAAGCTCTTGCCAAAACCTATGACCCTGAAATCAGGCAGCAATCCATTGGCTCAGAGCAGAGCAAAAACCCTCAGGGAATATTTTCCAGCTTTCCTGCTATCCAAATCCAAATTTGGATAGCAATTCTAAATCAAAATTTTGTCAGAATAAAGGATGAAAGCTCTTAGCAAGAGATGAGACATCATTCGTACTCCTGTTTTCTGAGTACCCCTCATTTTCACCAGCCACAGATACTGACAGGTCCTACAAAAAATGGTTTTTCTGGCCAGAAATTCCCCCAAGAGCAACGTGTTCCCACAGCCCCTGGCTATGGTGACAGCCAGAGGGACCAAAATTAAGAGCACTTTGCTGTGTTCACACAGAAGAACAATAAACAAAATAAACCAACAGTCCCTTTCCTCTTTAGTTTTGATTTTTTTGCCTGGACTATCACTTTTGAGCTTTCTAAATCAAATTAATTAGCAATGCCCACATAAGAGTGAAACATTTTCCATCCCAAGGAAAACAAAAGCAAACCCAAGAATATTTTTAAAAAACCAATAAACCCCAAAAGAATGGATAATTAGACCTTCAATGCAGACGTTTTTGTGGATCTTTCTGCTACAAAAAGTAAAATAAGACTCTTCCATGTGAGCTGGCCCAGGTGTACAAGAGGGAGGGCACAGCTCATTTATCTCCAGAAGCATCCACCTGGATGGATTCCACCTGCCAAAGGCAATAAAACCATTTCCAAACCAGCTGATGCAGGTTTTCCCAAGGAAAAGTGTGCCCAGTGCAATCAGGACCAGAAGATTTGAGAAGAAAAGGTCCCACCAAGCTCCACAGAGCTCCATGAAGCCCAGGATTTCCAGTGACGCAGCACTTCTGGACATCCCTCCTGACTTACAGGCCCCAAATCCAGGCTCTGCTCTGCACCTGGCAGGGGGTGAAGGCTCCCAAAGTCTGATTGCAGCCCCAAAACTGGAGCTGAGCCCATTCCCAAGCTGTCCTCCTGCCCTGCCCTCAAATAAATCTATTTATCCTCTGCTCCCCATGTTCCCTCCAGCAGGATCATCTCCTGGGAAAGGTGACCTGGAGGACACTGGATCCTTGCTGGAACTTTGGGTACAGGAAATATTTCTTAGTTTGTTTTAACAAGTCCTATTTCTTAGGAAACCACTGGTTTTGGCTTTTGTTTATGGAGAGGGTTTTGAAGACTTTGGAATTAATTAGAATTTATGAGTGTGCAAAACAGATAGTAGTATAGTTTATCACAGGGTGAAAAATTTAGAGTTTTGAGGTTTTAGTATGAAGGTGGATAGAAGACAAAATAGAGGATTTTGGGTGTTGTTTGATCTTTTTCTTCATGATTTATTTTCTTCTGCTTTATTTTCTATTGTGTTGGTGGTATAGAGTGATTAGTTAGGGAGAGCTGTAATACAGATGTTGTGCAGCAGACAAAGAATTAGTTATTGGTAGAAAAGCAGAAATAAAGGACATTTTAAGAGTTAATTAGATAAAATAGCTTTAAAAGACCTTGAAAGTGTACATTTTGTGACTTTTTTTGCTGCCTTCTCTTTGTGTGCCAAGTTTGCTACAGACAGTGTGTAGAACTTCTGATAAGATAAAAAATAACAACTTGAAGACTAAAAAATTATTTCACACAGATCCTCAAACAGGGAGCAGCCAGGCCATGAGCACCTGTGGATGTGATTGCCTGGAACCCCAGGGAGGAGCCTGAAAGCTGATTCCAGGAAATTAGGTGACAGATGGCCCTTTAGGGACACCCAGGACAGCACCTTAGCTGTGGGAAGTGGATTTGTAGAGAATGCTTCAAGTTTGACAGAAGGTTCACATAGTACACATCTGTATTCAAACTTTGAGGTAAGAAATGCTGACTTTAGGGTTCAAATTAAAATTAAGGTTTCAAATAAAATTAAGCCCTTTTGATGCTGCTTTAGAAATTCTCTACAAATCCACTTCCCACACTTATCCATGGCCCCAGGGGTGATCCCAGCCTGGGGCAGAGCCTGGTTCATGGAGAGCTCTGGGATTCCAGCAGCAGCCCAGATGTTTCACGACAGACCCATCCTGACATGGACATCTTCCCTTTCCTCCTCTTCCCTGGAGGCACTGAGATCCATCCCTCCCCTCCCACAGCCTTCCAGGGCCTAAAAGGGGCTTAACAAAAAGCAGGAGAAGGATTTTCCACTGTGCCAGGCTGCTCCAAGCCCCAGTGTCCAACCTGGCCTTGGGCACTGCCAGGGATCCAGGGGCAGCCACAGCTGCTCTGGCAATTCCATCCCAGCCCCTGCCCACCCTCCCAGCCAGGAATTCCTTCCCAATATCCCACCCAAATCTCTCCTCTCCCCATTCCCTGTGTCCTGTCACTCCATTCCTTGTCCAGAGCTGTTCTCCTGGAGCCCCTTTAGGCTCTGAGCTCTCCCTGGAGCTTTTTCTTCTCCAGGCTGAACAATCCCAACTTCTTCCAGCCTGGTTCCAGAACAGGGGGGCAATTCCCACCCGCAGCCAGAGAAAAATGCTACTGAAAAGTCTCAACAAAATGTCTCTGGGTCTGTTAGAAACACAAAATAGAGCTTAATTATTACCAGTGATCTGAATGAAGCAATTCCCTTTTTATTCCCCATAACATCACAACCCACCTGTGCCCCTTTCTATGCAAGAATATTGAATATCTGTACCCCTTTCTGTGCAAGAATATTGAATATCTGTACCCCTTTCTATGCAAGAATATTGAATATCTGTACCCCTTTGTGTGCAAGAAGACTGAATATCTGTGCCCCTTTCTATGCAAGAATATTGTATAGCTGTGCCTCTTTCTGTGCAAGAATATTGAATAGCTGTGCCCCTTTCTATGGAAGAATATTGAATATCTGTACCTCTTTCTGTGCAAGAATATTGAATACCTGTACCCTTTTCTGTGCAAGAATATTGAATAGCTGTGCCCCTTTCTATGGAAGAATATTGAATATCTGTACCCCTTTCTGTGCAAGAATATTGAATATCTGTACCCTTTTCTGTGCAAGAATATTGAATATCTGTACCCCTTTCTGTGCAAGAATACTGAATATCTGTGCCCCTTTCTATGCAAGAATATTGAATAGCTGGACCCCTTTCTATGCAAGAAACAAAGAGAGTTTCTCACCTCCTTTGAAGAGTCAGGTCCTTTCTGCAAATTCTCTGTGTGAGCAGAAATGCTTTCTGTCACAAAAGCAATGTGCTCTGCTGGCAGCAGCTTCTCAGGGTGAATAAAGGGAGAAACAAGAAGCCCACTCCACCTGTTTAAGTCATCAAGGAACTGAAAGAAATGGGAAAGGAGAATAAGTCTGCACAGGAAGCAGCTGATTTAATAACTCCTTTTTAAATTATGCCCAGCTTAAATCCAAATCTGACCCTCCAGCCTTACAGGAAGGGTGATGATTATTTCACTTTCCCCATGAGACAAAGAAAGGGATAAAATTCTGAACCGCTACAAAGGAACACTGAAAGTAAAACTGAAAGTGACAAGCCACGTTTTTAAGGCAACTCAAACTCCAGCTTTCAGCTTTACAGGAAGAGAGGGTGGAACACAAAACCCCAGAGCCCCTGGCACTGGGACTCCTGTGGGACATCTGCCACTGGCAGCATCCCTCATTCACCTGATCCTCCTCTCCCATCCACACTGAACACTGAATCCTCATTTCTCTGCATCAAAATTCCTCATTCACTATGAAACTCAAAAAACATAAAGAAATAATTCATTCAGAATCAATTTTTCCACAAGTTGTTCTATCCACCACTCAGATGATCATTGCACAAAAGTTTTCTTCATTAAATTACAAAAGACTCCCTCTTTTGCCCTCAGCAAGGAACAAATAAAGCTGAAAACCTGGAATCAGCAAACCAAAAAACACATTTGAGACATCTCACAGCTTCTCAGGAAAATATTACATCCATTTTTAATTTTTACATCGATTTTGCATGGAACTTCATTTGTCTGCCATATTTCAAAAATGGCAAACACCAGAAACAACTGTTTTGCTGTGGGAAATAGTACAGGTAAGAAGACTTCTAGAAAGTTATGAAGAAGGCTTTAGAAACAGAAAGTGTACAGAACTTAGAGCTAGCCGTGGTTGAAAGTCTGAAAGTAGAAAAGTTACAATAGCACAGTAAGCAAGGACATGAAACAAGAGTTTGAGTTTTAGGTTTGGTCAAGACAGATTTTAGGACTGTAGAAAAAGATGTTTAGTAAGATAAGAGAAGGTTTTAAGTTTAATAATTGTGTATTGTTAATAGAAAGTATATAACTAAGTATTGTTTGAAGTAGGTGTGGTTTCAGTGATGAACTACAATAATTATCTGTAAGTTTTGGTAATATGTTATTGGTTTAAAAGTTTTTGAAATGTTCTATAACAAAGAAACTTTTAGTTGTTGTTAGTAAGATGTGAGTTGTTATCTTTTAATTGTCTTAATTATGTAATGAGATTGATATAATAAAGCTCAAAGAACATATCTTGGTAGCCTTGTCTTGTTTGTCAACTTCCTAAAAATCCTCTTACCTTTACTATTTCCCACTTTTTCCTTCTGCCATACCACGAGCACACACCTTCAGTAATTCCATGTGGAAGCAGGAGAGAATTCCCCTGTGCACTGAATTCTAACACTAAATGTGTTCATCCCTGCACACCTCAAATGAAACCACGGAATATTGAGGGTGCAGCTCACTGACCCAACCACCCTTGGGAGCAGAGAAGCTGCACAAACAAATACTGATTTCTCCCACAGGAAAGTGAACTGAGCTCAGGAAGTTTAGAGTACCTTAAACATCCCATTTGGCTAAAGATCAAAGCAAAAAAAAAGCTTTTACAGGTCACGATTTATGACTTGCTAGTGTCTTAAGCAAGCTACTGATCACAGTCCAAGCTACTGAGAGAGCAAAGGAGCTTTGCTGGCTGCCCAGAAGCCAAAAAAAAAAATCTGAATTAACCTTTTATCTCTTCAGAGATGATGTAAAGAGCTCCCCAGTGATGCAGAGCCAGAGTTGAGGTGCAGCACAACAGGACCTGCCCCAGGGATTCTCAAATGCTGTCACCATGTATTTTAAAGAGACAAAAATATATTGAATAACAGCCCTGAGCCCTTGCCAAACTTCATGCCAATCTGGAGTTCCCCAGAGGGCTTCCCAGCTCCCAATAAACCAAGCAGATTATAAAATCAGTCTGCATGAACAGCACTGCAGACAGAAAAAAATGTGCTGGCAGTGCAAGGACTGAGGAAAAGCTGTTTCAGAAATGAGCAGGAGTGGAGCAAAGAGCAGAAATCAGCTGAAATCCTCTTCACAGAACAATAATCCAGGGCAACTGAGGCAGAGCTGCTCTAAACACAGCTTTGTTTTGTTTTTGAGGGCTTTATTGGAATGTGAATTAGGTATTTCACTTGGCTGTGAAAGACTCTGAGATTGCCACCACCGCTCTTGAGTGTGAAATAATCTGTTCATTAAATAGCAAAAAAACCTAGTTTTAAATAGAACCAACTCCATCAGCATTTCTGATCTTGTTTTCCCTCACTGCAAAAGTTCTCTTCACCCACTGAATTAATGAAAAGCTTCTCTGCTTCCTGAAGAGCACTTAGCCACTGACACGCTCCATAAATCCCTTCCCAGCAATGCCTGCAACAACTGAAATAATTCCCAACCACTCACACATCAACATCAGCAAAAAGCACAGATCAAGAAGAGCCTCACCCAGACCAATTCTGGCATTTAGTGCCAAATTCAGAGAAATCCACCATTCATTTAAATAATTCAGACTAGCTGGGGGCAGCACCAGTTCCAGTCCTGAAAGTCAAGCAAGCTCGCTTTCAGTTTTGCTTCCAGCAGTGCCAGGTGGAACTGGTTCAGGCACAAGGTTTTTCCACTCTCATGGGCTGCCACAGCCTCCCCCAGCCCTGTTCATTTGTGATTTTCATTTTTCACCTCATTTTCCTCACTTAGAACAACATTTTGTATGGGGAGAAGCAGCCAGCTCTCTCTACAGCTCACATTCCAGGGCAGATCCAGCAGCATTTTAAAGCCCTGACACGAATCTTGAAGGCACAAACACAGCACATATTTTTAGACTAAAGCCTTATATGCTTTCCAAGTATGTTGCTAAAATGGAAGGAGGATTTTCCCAGGGACAAGACAAGGGGGAATGTCCTTAAACAGAAAGTGAGCAGATTTGGATGGGATATTAGGAATGAAATCTTCCCTGGGAGGGAGGGGTGGCCCTGGCACAGGGGGCCCAGACAAGCTGGAAGTGCCCAAGGTCAGGTTGGACGGGGCATAGAGCCCACAGAGGAGGCTGGAAGAGGATGATCTTTAAGGTCCCTTCCAACCCAAACCATTCAGTGATTTTATTAAATTATTTCAAGCTCTCCCAGCCATGCTTTCCTAGAACCACCGCTGCCCTTGCAAAGCTGCACTTGATACATATACATACATATATATATATATATGGATAGACAGACATGCAAATACACATTTGTAGCGCACAGAGCATCCCTCAGCCCACTTCCTACTCCAACAAGCTCCGGCAGGGAGCGAGGAGAGGAAACCACACCTGAACCAACATTTCCCACCAAAGCGACCACCTCGCTGTCCCCTCCTCCTCCTCCTCCTCCTCCCCCTGCCTGTGACAGCGCGTGGGAATTCCCAAATCCCAAACCCCTGCCCGTCACCAATCCCCACAACCAACCCACGACCCCATCCCCGTCGCTCCGCGGGGCCGGGATGCTCAAACCCGTTACCGCGGCAACCGCCGCATCCCCCGCGCATCGCCGTTACCGCGGCAACCGCCGCATCCCCGCGCACCGCCGCCGCTCTACCTGCGCCTCGCCGGTGCAGAACACCTTCCCGCCGATGCGGAGGCAGACGCGCTCCTCGGGGTGCGGCTGTCGGGCGCAGAAGGTGAAGGAGCAGCGGGAGCGGTGCAGCCTCCGCACGGTGCTGCGGACGAGCGCGGCCGAGCGCGGCCCCCAGCGCGCCCACAGGTAGAGGTAGCACAGCGTGATCAGCATGGCGGGCGCGCGGCCACGCCCCCTCCCCCCCGCGCCCGCCCCGGCCAATGGCAGCGCCGTGCGTCAGGGGGGGGCGGGTGGCGGTCCCAGCGCTGATTGGCGGGCGGGGGCTGGCGCGCGCGGCGCCCCGCCCCTTTTGCACCGCCGCGTCTCCTCCCCTCCTCCCCTCAGCGCTCGGCCGTGAGGCCGCCGCCTTCCCCTCACGCTGAGGGGAGCGCGGAGTCCTGCGGTGAAAGGAGATGTGGAAAGGAGTAAAGAGCGCTCAAAATCGTTAAAAGCGGCTCGGGGCGTTTTGTATTTGCAGCGGGTTAGTTGTAGGCGTGTTCTGGAGGAGGAAGAGGAGGAGGAGCAGGCGAGGTCTTCTCGTAGGCGGCGCCACGACTCGGCTTCTCTGGGAATGGCAGAATGGTTTTGGTGAAAAGGGACTTACAGCTCATCCAGCTCCACCCCCTGCCATGGGCAGGGACACCTTCCACTGTCCCAGGCTGCTGCAAGCTCCAGTGTCCAACCTGGCCTTGGGCACTGCCAGGGATCCAGGGGCAGCCACAGCTGCTCTGGCAATTCTATTCCAGGGCTTCCCCACTCTCTCAGGGAAGGATTTTTTCCCCCAACATCCCACTTAAACTTGTAATTTTTCAGTTGGAAGCCACTGCCTGTGTGCTGTCCCTGCATCCCTTGGAAATTGTCTCTCTCCAGGTTTCCTGGGGCTCCTTCAGGCCCTGCAAGGCCACCCTGAGCTCAGCCCAAAGCTTCTCCTGTGCAGCTGAACAATCCCAGCTGTGCCAGCCTTTCCTGCCAGCAGAGCTGCTCCATCCCTCTGCTCATCCTGGAGCCTCCTCTGGGCTCTCTGCAGCAGCTCCAGCTCCTCCCTGTGCTGGGACAGGGCTGGGGCAGCTCTCAGGTGGGCTCTCACCTGTGGGGGCACAGGAGCACAATCCCCCCTCACCTGCTGTTCCCATCGGTTGTGATGGAGCCTAGATAAATCTTCTGCTTCTCCAAAGCTCAAACTGTCCTGATGGACAACAGGAAAGGATCTCATCTTCCTCAGAAATGACTTGACACTGCTACCTGACCTTATTCCCAGACTGATGGTACCCTAAAGGCACAGTATTCCCTTTTGTATCCCACACAATCAGGAGAAGAAACCTGTCTCCAGTTCCCATTCCTGTAGCCACCAAAGCCACAAATGGATGTATTTATTTCCAGCCAGAAATGCATTTAAATCCAATTCATTGGATTCACCAAATGAGAAGGGGCTGAACATCAGAGTGAGGAACAGCCTGTCAGGGAATCAAACTGTAGGATTTGCACCTGCCCTGTGTGCTGCAAACACAAATTGCTCCTCCAGAATACACAACAGACAGCAAATTATCCTTTACTCCTCCAATATATCTATGCACAAAAGTTATCAAACACTTTCTGTATTTTATACGGAAAGGAATCACAACAACAGCTCTGGGAAAGGAGTGTGTGGATCATTCTGATCCTAGCAGATACTTGGTGTGTGAGTGAAAAGAGAAGATTAAAAAAAGATGCAAAATGCAATGCTAAAAGAAAGAAGCCAACACCTGCCTTGACAGATACATGACATTTGTTTCCTGAACAAGTTGGGCAGGAAGCCACAACCTTTTTTTTTATTATTCTGAACTCAAGGTCTTGTCCTGCACTTGGAAATTCAGTGCAATGGGTATTCTAAAATAACAATTTTGTCCCTAAGTGTATCTCTAGCAGCAGCATGCTGGCTCTGTAGATAAACACGGAACAAATTGGCTCTGCTCTCACATTTCAAGTGAAAGGAGGAGAGGAAATGGTTTTAAGTTGTGCCAGGGGATGTTCAGGAAATGTTTTTTTCCCTGGCAGAGTGGTCAGGCCTTGGGCTGAGCTGCCCAGGGAGATTTGGAGTCACTGGAATTGTCCCAGAGGAGTCTGGATGTGGCCCTTAGGGACAGGGTTTGGAGTGATGCTGGTGGCACTGGGTGATCCTGGAGGGCTCTTCCAGCCCTGAGCATTCTGTGATTTTGGCCTTGAACACCTCCAGGGATGGGACATAATATTTCCACAACTCATGGCACAAACAGATTACAGTTCCAGTTGTGAGGCCAAATATTTTCACTAATTGTTCACCTCAAGCTTCAGAAACACCAACCTTGTGCTGCTGCCATATCCTGCCCTGCACAGAGAGGAACAAATCTCCAGTGCTCCTCACACCGCTCCTTTGTGTGACTTTATCTTATGCAGGAAGTCCAGATACCTGTCTGGGCACATCAAAAGAAAGAAAACAATCTCCAAAGCCAGCTCTCAGCTCTGGAATTCACTTTCCCTGGGTTAGCTCAGGTGCCTGCACAGAGCTCTGCTCTTTGTGAAACCTTTCCACAGGCAGGAAGGGGCTGTGCTTCAAATCCTGCTCTGCCATCAGGTGCACTCAGCTCCACAATGAGCATTTCTTGATTTCTGAGCTTCCCCTACCCTGGAAAAGTTCATGAGGAAATGAGAAAACTGAATCAAAGCCTCACCATGCAAGGGAATCTAAAGCAGAACGGGCAAAACCAGTCCCTGTTTCAAGACGAGCTCCTGCCACGTTGGCACAGAATTAATTTAGAGCTGTGAAGCTGCTGTTTCTGTTATAGTGTAACTTCAGCTTCATCATGACAAGCTTTTACTAAAAATTTCAGAATTTTATGACAAGCTTTGACTAAAAAATTCAGAATTGTATGACAGGCTTTGACTAAAATGTTGAGAATTCATGACAAGCTTTGACCAAAAAGTTCAGAATTTTATTACAAGCTTTGACCAAAAAGTTCAGAATTTTAGACAAGCTTTAACTAAAAAGTTCAGAATTCTATCACGAGCTTTGACTGAAATGTTCAGAATTTTATCACAAGCTTTGACTAACAAGTTCAGAATTTTGTGACAAGCTTTGACTAAAAAGTTCAGAATTTTAAACAAGCTTTGACCAAAAAGTTCAGAATTTTAGACAAGCTTTGACCAAAAAGTTCAGAAATTTATGACAAGCTTTAACTAAAAAGTTCAGAATTCTATCACAAGCTTTGACTGAAATGTTCAGAATTTTGTGACAAGCTTTGACTAAAAAGTTCAGAATTTTAAATTGGGAAAACATTCTGTTGTTATTACTTTTATTATTCAACCAAGGCCTTGCATGCACCAGGGAATTTACTGAAATAGGTTTTCTAAATAAAATAAAGTAACCATGTCAGTCAGCTCCTCTTTACAGAGGGTGGAAGGAAACCTTGGAAAAAACAGGGCGTAATATCAGCCCTCAAACTCCCAGCTCCACTGTGTAACCGTGGAGTAGCTGAGCTGCTCTTGTTGACTTTACAGGAATATTTTGAGGCTTTGCTGTGCTTTGTGACCAGCTGGTTCCTTCTCCTTCTCCTACTTAAAAAGCTTTTCCAAGGATTTCTCTGGGAGGAGCTATTGCTGCTATCAGCGTCTGTGGTTTATTGTTTAATATTGTTCAAAGATATTGTTCAAAACTATAAATGCTGCAGATGTGTCCAGGTTCCCCAAATATACCAATTTATGTTGGTAATAATTTATTGATTGCCCTTTATTCTTGCAAATGCACAATTGCCTTCATGAGAAAACTGCATGAAACCCATTTCTCATAAAGATCAAATGCTCTTTTAATTAACACAAAATTATTAGCACAGGGCTCATCTTCTGTAGAAGCTGAATCTGTCAAAGTTATTCCCAGGTAATGTCAGAGATCTGAATAATTCCCCTGACTTCTTGGAAAACTTTTCTAATTCTGTGTTCTTCACCAAATATCAAAATTAAGCACCTTACATGAAAATTACTGCAAAAAGAAACCTGACTTCAGTTAATGATTTCCACAAAAATGCAAATTAATATTGTGTGGTTTGCTTGATTAGTACTATAATGTAATATTCACATTTTTTCTACAAGTATTATATTTGCTCAACATTGCAGCTTCATCACCAAAGTTGTATTTTCAATAATTCTGTAATAAATTTGGTCTTGCAGAGCTTTATCAAGAGATTTAATTGAGAATAACTTTGCATCTTCTGAGTGTTACATTCCAGCAGTTTAGGCTCTAGTCCTGCACTAATATCCATGCAGGCAGAGGAATAAATCAATTATCCTCACATCCAGATCTGATTGCAAGATCACAGATATCAACTCTCCAATACAAACTTCCCTTTCAACTCTCAAGTTAAATCAGGACTAAACAAAACTGAGCTGCTGAAATTACATATGTGGAGGTCAGCCTGTAATTTAGCAAGATATTTAATTACACTGCAGGTGTAATTAAATATCTTGCTAAAACACTTAAGTTTGCCATTTTTCCTCAGGACTTGTGCTGTTATTTAACAAATATTTTGGATTTTTAATATTATTCACTGTGTTCTTTGTTCTATTAACTGTAGTGATTTTGGTACAGAAATGTTCAAAGGGATGGAGACTGTGCATGTATTTTTTATTTGTAATAGGGCACTATTGATTTCTTTACAACTTCACAGATATCACAAGGTATTTAAACATGGCAGGGAGTAGATTTAGACTGAAGGTGCCCAATTCACACTAAATAGTCTGTGGTCAATAAATAAAATTATTTTTCCATCTCTGGGAAAAAGGTTAATGTCAACTTGGACTTTTTTTTAGGACAGGATGTGGATGAGTTCTTCCAGGACATGCAAAAATGCATTTACAGAGTGTATTTAATAAAGAGCAACTCCTGATTCTGCAATAATCCTGAAAATTCTGTAAATTCACATTCAGCAGAACAGCACCAGAAAGATAAATAGGATAAACATGTTCTATCCCATGGGATTTGCTAAAAACAAAAACCCCATGTCCCTGGAACAGCCTCCAAGGTGCGAGCCTGTCCTACCTTTGAACTCATCCTGGTTTGGAAAGCCAGGTGTCTGCTAAGGAAGGCAGGAGCCTCCCCTGAAATGGAGAATGTAAACCCCCTCCCTCTGAATTGCTATAAATTTAAAATTAAGGCACTCTCAGGCAAAAATA